TGTGTGTGCGTGTGTGTTTGCTAATTATTTTTGAAATATCAGTTGCTTGTAGGGTTCAGGGGATCTCGTAGTCGAGCAGTCTCGACTAGAGCTTTCTTACTTGTTTTTTTTTTTATTTATTTAAAATTAAAAAAATATTATTAATTATTCTGTATCCGATTGAAATTGGAATGCATATTCTGTATACTCGTTCAAATACTGAAAAGGGTATATTGGTTTTGACTCTCCCTCTTTAGATATGAATGCAGTCTTATTAAGTTATATATGTATATAGATCTAAAGGATTCATGGACATTGCCTGTCAGAAAATATATAATATTGTATAATAAATTTAGGGAGATATTGAAGTACTATGCAGTCTATAAAAGCTGATCAAAATGTTTTTAGTGGGGTTCCCTTTATAATATATAGTTAAGTTCACTTCAGTTCTAAGCCCAAACGTGTTTAGATCTCTATGAGCAGATTGTTTTAACCATATTTTATGCAATGAATGAATTAATAATCAATCTGAATTAACTAGAATTCGAACCGGAATAGCTAGAGCGTGTGTATATTGACTGATTTGAGCGGTATCGGAAGTATTATTCATGTATCTATCTGTATGATTTTTATGATAACTTTTTGGTAATGCCAAACACGTTCCAACTGGCGTCTATTTGTCATCAATGTTTATTGAAAAGTCCATTACACTCGTTTAAATATTTGTTCAGTCGAAACAATGGAACGGCCTTAGTTTTTTTTTTATGTTTTTGGGTGTATTATCTAGTAGTCATATATATAATATATAAGTATTTAACTATATTGCTATTCATATTGTAAGAGTCTCAGTTTCAAGGTAACGGGACTCTTCCTGTTGTCTGAACTCCATAGCATAATTGTGATAATTATAACTAGATATCTGAGTCATAATGAGATATACATACATATATGCATATGGTAAAAGTCAAGGCGTGAACTAGATATCGAATCAGAGTTCACGATTTGTTCGATTGTGAGTGCATTGAATGCATTAAACTTTAATTAAAACTATTGATGCCATTTGCTACAGACAATGATACAGCAGTCTATCTCGCTTCCGCTCTGTATACCTGTCTCCCTTTCTGTATCTCTCCAATAGCTGCAAATAATTGCACAACTGTTTTGATATGCCAATTTGTAATGTGAAATAAAGTATCTTTTGTTTCCGAATGCCACAATAGATACACAGCGAGTGAGAGACTGAGAGCGAGATAGAGCTAGTAAGAGAGAGGTAGAGAGTGAGAGGTTACTTCTCATACTATAATTGCTTGAGACTGAAAGAAAATAGTGCGACGTATTTAGATTTAACCGAACAATACATCATTTGCAAATTATATACCCACATCTAACCATATATAATAAAATATACTATAACCTCTGGTCAAGTGAATATTAACTAAATGTGATAAATCACTGAAAGTGTGACATGCGACATGCGACATGCGACAATTCACAGAGAATTTCCCGGTCAATGATCAGATCCCGAAATTTGTACACATACAGCATGCAAATGTAGATGCTCTCTCTCACTGTTGTTCGTTTTGTTATGATGTCGGACGGACAGGCCAAATAGCCGGAGAGACGGGCAGGCGGACAGGCAGCCAGACAGACGGACAGATTAGTACGTGTGCAGCAAATCAGTTCAATTAAGACTTGTTATAGCCGTGCCCGTCTACTCAATGATATGTACGTACATCCGTAACTCTTTGCGGCGTAATTTTTGGATGTATTTCGTTTCATTTACTGGGCTATTCAATCTAAGGTTTATTTATAAACGAAATAGCTCTACACGTAATTTCCCCATTTAAAAGTTTGAGCTATAAATAAATAGACCTGATGTTAACCACATTTTCACATTTCCAAATATACATATGTAAATATTAATGGGAAAAACAGTAAGAGTGCATGAGTCTATTAGTGCTCGACTAACAGATACCCGGAACATGATAATATTGAATAGCAAATATTTAGTCTGTAAGCTTGAGATCTAGTATATATATTATACAATTACAAATCTTGAGCTAGATCAACTTCTCTGTTGCTTCTGATCAAGTAATATCAATTGAGCTTGGGTTCAGCTACGCCTTCTTCGTCTAGTTACATGCTTTAACTTCTGCTTGGGGATTTCCAGTTGTCTATCAGTAAGTTGAATAGGGTTAATTATTTGGATTTGTGCTCTACTCATTTGATTTTCATTTACATATTAAGTCTCGATCCCCAAATTGTTGTTCTCTTTTTGTAGGGCTTATCATGCATGCGCCCATATCGTAACGACGTGCATATGGATGTGCTGGCTTATATATATTGCGCGGTTTACAGTTACATTCAAAATAGATAATAAAAACCTCAGCGTAGTTACAAACATATGTAAATACATAAAAGTCAATTTCGTTTTAGCTCAAAAGTGGGATGGAAAAGCTCTCTGCTTAAAATTTGTGAAATCCGAGTTTTATGGGGGTAATAGAATGCATGCGTCAAGAGGCATTGTAAAGTATTACTTTTTACTTGGGAAATACTTACTTTGCTGCAATACTTATCTCTAAATTGTTCAAATTCTATAAGGGGAATTATTATATATTGCGCATATTTGCATTTTCATATTATAGGCACAAGCAGTTATTTTTTTATAGATAATTGTGTTATCTAATATCATAATAGAGTTTTTGTAAAACTCTCAGTGACCGAGTACTAAATATTTATTTTGATGGACAGCTGTTCATAAAGTATTTTCTTTCCATACTATATAGAAAAACAATAACATTCAAGTTAATAAATTATGAACATTTTCAGCTTTAACTGGCTAGAACTAGATAATAACCTGGATATGGGTCTTGGGTTATTTCAAATTCGTTTTACAAGGCATACGAATTACACAAGAATAATTGGAAATTTGAATTTCGTACATAATTCGAGCTTGTCTTCAATTTTCCAACCGGTTAACGGATTTTCCCATTCAAAACTGAGAAACAAAATGGCAGCCATTGAACTAGTTCAATGCGAGGCTTGCATTTATTGTTGCTTTAGTTTGCAATATCGAACCATTTGTACTATTCCATTATAGAGCCATAACAATATTATAAATATGTATTGTTATTCAATATGTGGAGCTTTGCATATGCATTTATCAATTGATAATACGCCCATATTTTGTGGAACTTTAATGGAAATGTGACAGCAAACATGTTCATTGGCTTATTTTTCACGGCAGTTGAAGGTAGTCCAGCATTATTTAGAGTATATCATATCATGCATCGTTTAAGTCCCCATATTCAAATCCTTATAATGCGGGTACTCAATAAGGCGTACACGATTCGGTTTGTTTGGCTGTAGGCGTGTCACAGACTCACGATTAAATGAACGAAATAAAAAGAAAGAAAGAACGATAGCTGCAGCAGCGATGGCAGCGATGGCAGCTAACGGTTTAATTGAAATGCCGCACATAAGGCTGTTCAGCTTCGGCTGAGCTATGTATAATCGCAACTCAGTTGATTTATAAATAGAACGACCGCCCAACGCCCACCCTCATCGCATCGATATGCTCGTGCTTCAGCTCGTGCTTAAGCTCGAGTTGCTTGTTTGTCGTGTGCCCCGATCTCGCTGACGTTTCGACGTCGACGTCGACAGCGACGTCAACAGCGACGTCGTCGCCGTCGTCACTCGGTAATTTATTTTATAAAACGAAAACGGCCCGAAACAGTTAGAAGTATTCTTGCACTGGCAGGGCGCAGGTTGTGTCTGGGTCGTTGAAAAGTGCGAAAAGTGCGAAAAGCTCAGCGGAGCGCGCGACTGTTCGATCGGGATATCGCGTCGAGTTGAGAATTACAACAATTGGATTAGGGAATTACGCTTCAAATAAATACAAAACTAATCTTAATTAGACTTATTACTAATTCAACATTGTGGCCACGTACTAAAAGTAGTTTATATAGCGCAGTCAATGTGATAAAATCAGTATAGATATATGTATATTTATATAAGTATTTCTCAGAGTTGCGAATGTGTTAGTGAAGCGCTTAATAAAAGACAAAAAAAGGAAATTTATAATAAAAATATCAAAGTTCCTTAAAATAATTTAAAATAATATAAATTATTTTGTAAATAAAATGATCCAAGTAAACCTGATCTATTCAATAATCCTTTGCTGTTGCCTGGCGGCTGTGCCGCAGGTGCGAGCAAAGCATCTGCTCGAATTTATCGCCGAAAGTGCGAATAATGAAGTTGAAAAAGAAGTCGAAACATTTGACTTTTCCTCCTGGTAAGTTACGAGAGTTCGTAAAACTTTCGCTCACTTTACATACAGTCCGTACTATACGAAAACAAAAAACAACTTTCATTATCTAAATTATTAGTTTTATTATTCTTTTATGTGACTCTTTATCTGTATAAGTGTGTCTATATACTTGCTTAGTATATGACCTTTTTGATACACCCATATCAACTGGATCATACTCTCTGCCACAACGAACCGGTCCAGAATTATCAAACTGAAACCACTTAAAATCTCGCATTCGACTGTTATAATATATGTACGTACATATACATATTTGCAAAAAAAAAAAAAAAGAAAAAATGGAATATAATCGCGACCAATAAACGTGACGGACTATTTCAAAATCGTGCCAGCGGATTGAATTCCATATCAGATCCTATCGCACAGGTGTCGCACTGAACTTGTTCATGCTTAAAGTCTAATTGCCTCATTAATAGGGAGAAAGAAAAAGTTATTTACACTAATTTATGATGTCAGACCGTAGGTCTACTAAAGTTGTTAGCTTAATGGTTTTTCTTTCTCTCTCGCTCTCTCTTTAAGATTAATTTGCGGTTCAGCTTTTGATCAATTTTGCATAAGTGGAAGTACGAGAGTACGAAAAGTAGTTTATTCTAATTTAGTAAATATTTAGTCAACTGTTTTCACGAGGAAGTTTATAAAGTTGTATATCAAAATAATCTGGTTAGCTTTTTAAAGGATTTTAAAGGAATGTGAGTTTCCTCATAATATTTAAAGATATATAAATTAAATAACGTGACCAGATTATTTTATTTAACATATACATACTTCCCTAAAAGATGTTAATCAGATTATTTCACTTTAAGATTTCATATTTGTACATTTTTTTTAGCTGTAAATAAAAATAAAGAATTTTTTTGCATCAATCAATAAAAAGAAATAAAACCCAGTTAAGAATATATAATCTAGTATTACTGAAGTCAAAGCATATTAGTAAACAATAAAAATCCAATTCAAAGAAAGCAATAATATATAATAATATAATATAATATGATATAAATTTTTCCCATACTTCGATTTCAGCCAAATATATTGCTATGGACCTCTGTTGCATACGGTACAGATGGCGAAGCTGTTTCCCGACTCGAAGACTTTTGTGGACATGAAACTGAAGGCTTCGCCTGAGAAGACAATGGAGTTATTTGAGGCATTTATGGCTTCCACGAATAATGCACCCACCAACGATCAGATACGGAAATTTGTTGATGTACGACCGAGACGACAATTCAATAGTAGCTTATAATTTGATTGATCGAATCCTTTTGGAATTTGCAGGATAATTTTGGAGCAAAGGGCACCGAGCTGGAGGTGTGGACACCTACAGATTGGGTTGAGCATCCAGCGTTTTTGGATCTTGTCAACGATCCGGATCTGAAGCAATGGGGCGTCGATCTAAACAACATCTGGAAGGAGCTCGGGCGTAAGATGAAGGACGATGTGCACAAGAACCCGGAATATTACTCCATCATACCCGTGCCCAATCCGGTCATTGTGCCCGGCGGCCGCTTTATCGAGTTCTACTACTGGGACTCTTACTGGATCATTCGAGGCCTGTTGTACAGCGAGATGAGGGATACGGCCCGCGGCATGATCGAGAATTTCATGTCGATTGTACAGCGCATTGGATTCATACCGAACGGCGGTCGCGTCTACTACGGGGGCCGCTCCCAGCCGCCGCTACTGGCGGGCATGGTCAAGTCCTATGTGGACTTCACCAAGGACGATCGGTTCGCCATCAATGCGCTGGATGTGCTGGAGCATGAGTTCGAATATTTCATCAACAATCACAGTGTACAGGCCAAAGGCTATAATCTAGCTGTGTACAGGGACTCGTCGAAGGGACCCCGTCCCGAATCCTACAGTGAGGACATAGAGACAGCTGCCACATTCAACACCGACGAGGATAAGGAAAATCACTATAGTGAGCTGAAGTCGGCTGCCGAATCGGGCATGGACTTCAGCTCTCGCTGGTACATCAACGAGAAGGGCACAAATGTTGGAAATCTCTCAGTAACGAAGACCCGTTCCATTGTTCCAGTCGATCTGAATTCATTTCTCTACTGGAACGCCAAAATTATTGCTGAATTCCATGCCAAGGCGGGCAACGTGGACAAGATGACAGAGTATGAGACCAAGGCGCAGAAGATCAAGGAGGTAGGTTGATCAAAATTTATTCAAAATTTATATCCTTATCTATGCCATACTCTCCCATGTTTTTGGCAGGCTATTCAGGCTGTCCTGTGGAACGAGGAGGCCGGCTGCTGGCTGGACTATGATTTGATCAATGAGAAGCCACGCGACTACTTCGTGACCTCCAATCTAGCCCCGTTGTGGGTCAAGGCATACAATATTTCCGACACCGACAAGATATCTGAGTCGGTGCTGAATTATATTGAAAAGAACAAACTGGACACATTCCCGGGCGGCATACCAAACTCACTCTATCAGACTGGCGAGCAGTGGGACTTCCCCAATGTGTGGGCGCCTATGCAGTATATTATCATCGAGGGTCTGGACAATTTGGGCACTCCCGATGCCAAGCAGCTGTCAAAGAGATGGGGTCACCGCTGGGTGAAATCCAATTTTGCGGCATATCGCGATTCGCGTGCCATGTTCGAAAAGGTAGCGCTCGAGTAGTCTATATATTCCATAGTTCTCTGGTAATACTGGAATACTTTCTCTCTCAGTACGATGCGGAAAAGTTTGGCGGACATGGCGGCGGTGGTGAATACGGCGTGCAGAAGGGCTTTGGCTGGACCAATGGCGTCATCATCGAGTGGCTGGCGAAATACGGGCACGAGATTTCGCTGAGCAACACGGGCGCTGCAGGTGAAAACGCGAACTAGAGCAACTACTTTGACCACGCCCCGAGCGATTGCTACGAGCAATTGCCGAACGTTAAACATTATTTGAAACCATGAACCAAGCATCGACATTTGTCCTCGTCTCAGTTGTTACAACTGTTGCAGGCATACTTTTAGTCTTAGATTGAAGCTCGCAGAGATGCTCAAATAGTTGATAGTCACATATATACATATATAATATCTGTTGTGCAGAGAGAATCGAGTATCATCGTCCATTGTCCATCAATAGGCTAAGCTCTATCTCTCTCTCTCTATCTCTCTCTCGCTCTTTCACTGTCACTCTCTTTCTGTGTGTCTATAACTAATGTCTGTATCGGAACAATCAACGTCTGCAACGAGCACAAAGCACACTCTCCACCCAGAGAGAATTAGGAATTGATGATCAGATCCAGCCAGAACAACATCTGCTCCACACACACACACACACACACACACTATACACACACTCTCACTATTTCTACCTAAATATATATTATATATCGCTTTTCATCTGCCTTCAACTTTGTCTTCGCCCTCGTCTCGTCTCGCCTCGACTCGCATCTATATATCTGTCGTTCTGTCGTTTAACGCCAAAATTGTTTACGTAAGTGTCTCAAAAATCATTTGTCTCTTATTCTTAACTATATATGTATGTCTGTATGTTCTAATACCTGCACAATTTGCTTAACGTATGCGCACAGCTAACATAGTTCCCATATAAGATCTTTACATTTACGTAGCCATAGCGCAGCATGATAAAAGTATATGGCTTTGCGATTTAGTTAGTGTTAGATTTTTGTATTCTTATTATAATTCATTATTTATTAATTACACTATTTTCGTCACATTTTCCACAGGTCCCAGCAGTCGATTCCTCAGCTTATTAGGCGTAACAGCTGTGGCGTTAATAGGTGCCTTTGCCGGTCGTCTCATCTGGTGAGGTGAGTCTCAATATCAGCGAGAGCTCCATTAAATATTGTAGAGTGAGAAGGCAATTGCTAATTATATGTACATTTTGCTTCTCATTGCAGATTCAGAGACAACTTTGATTGCCCTATGAAAATGTGATTCCCTCCTTCCCAGCATTTTAGTGTGCATGTGTGCGTGCGTGTATGTGTGTGTGTGAGCGTATGTGTGTATGTGTTTCCAATTAGACAAAAAGCGTTTTCAGCTTGTGTGCGCAGATTGCAGTATTAGATATAAACAATATACAATTGACATATTTGTTAGAGATGTGAAGTGAGTTGTACATACAGAATTCTATAATAACATCGGGCATGCCCCACTTGTTGAGTTACCCTTAATATTAAACATAAGCAACGAATTGAAGACAATAATGGACACAAATCAATGTTAATGCATGGCATTCGTTGACTATGTATATAGATATAGAAATATCCTCGCAACCCTCGTGAAGAAAAGACACAATTTGATATATTTTTGATGTTGTTAGTTGTTAACAAAAATTGCCAAATTGTTTCCTATGATTTCTGAAATAAACAAAAAAAAAAAAAAAACAAAAGTATTTGTTGCATGAACACAACTGTTTTTCTGTCCATTAACAAATGTTAATAATATTTTCCCACTTCTACAGGCGTACTTGGTTCAAGTAACTCAGAGCGTCAGCACAAGTGTCAAGTGTACATAGGTTTTCATTTATTTTAGTTTTATTCTTATATTGTTGCTTTGCTTGCGTTCAAAATTCAATAATTGGAAACTTATCTAGAAAATAGCTAACACGACATAATAAGACGACATTAAACTAGAGGACTGAGTTACATGCAAATTTATATATACATACACACATGTATATGTATATACATATATACATATATAGCATATACAATTTGAAATCTTAGCGCACTTTTGCGTTTGGATATGACTCGGTTCGATTTGACGAGGACACAAAGTATCCAGAGATAACAGATACAGATACAACAAAAAAGAAAGAATGGAATTATAGTACACAGTACATACATAGAGAAAATAACAATAAATATTTGCCAGCGCTATAGAATAGTGTAAATTAACTAATTCGTCTGCTGTGGCTCGTGACTAAAGTAGGGAGCGGTGTGTGGCGTGAGCAAAGTGTGACAAATATCACAGACGCGGGCAATACGTTTCCGTGGTCCCGATGGCACCGTTTTCGTTAGACATTTATCGCAGTAGATGTGTCCACAGTGGCGGCAATGGATTTTGCGCACCATCACCGTGAAGCCGGCGTTGCATGTGGGACAATTGGTGACGTCGTCGTCGTCCTGCCAGCGCACCTCGGTGTCAGCATGCCGCAGCTCCTCTAAGGTCATCTAGAACAAACAACAATTAGGATTAGGTTTAAGATAATTTATGACAATATTACAAGTATATTGGAAAATACAAAATAAATATTTATATTTGTATTTAGCTGGATTTATTAATTGGGCCATTCGGCTTACCTGTAGCTTTTGTGACAGTTTGACAAAATCTTTTTGCACCGTTTCCATTGTGGACAACTCCTCCTGAAGCGTCTTTATCTTGGCCTTATAGTCTACATTAGTTTTTGTCAGTTTCTCCTGAAAATGGATCAAGAGTGAAATTGATTGATTGATTTCATGCATCAACTGCTTACGTTTGCTTCCTGTAGTTCTATAATCTCAACGCGGCACTCGGACAGCTGCTTGTTCAGCTCAGCCTCTTTGCGTTCCAAAAGTGTCTTTGATGACTCGTGCGACTGCTCTGCGATCAGCTGTTCCGTGATGCGATCTCTACGGAAAGTAAATAAATAATGAATTAATGAACATGATTGACATAATTATATATCTTCGGCTTACTGTAGTGACTTAATGTCTGATTGCACTTTGCGTTTGTAGGCTCGCTTTTCATTGTTGCTCTCTTCGAGCTGGGCGCGCAATAAATGAATCTCATCCAGCGAGCTGACGCACTTCTGTTTCTCATATTCGCTGCTAACTCTGGCCTGTATCAGTTCGTTCTGCTGTCGCAGAATTAACTCCTGCAGCTCGACCACAGTGTTTGGGAGATTAATGTATTGGTTCTCAATTTCCTCGGATGTCGCCAGAAATCGACCGGACAGAAAGTCATTGTCAGCCTGCAGTGTCTCTAGATGCTGGTTGACCCTTTCACGATCGTCGGTCACTCGCTGTAGATTTCGCATAACCTCCTCCTTGGTCTCGAGGAACTTTTGTTGCATATCCAACAGTTGTTGCTCGTTGTTCTTCACTTGCTCGCGAAGGTTTTGTACTTCGGTCTTGTGTGCCTCCCGCTTCGTTTGCCACTGATTCTCCAAGTCATTGCGCAGCGCTGCTTCCTTGCTCAACTGTTCCCGCGCCTCCGTAATCTGCTTTTGCAGTATATCCAACTGCTTTTGCTGTTGCTTCACCTGAGCTGCCAAATCATTTGCACGCTGCTCAGTCGTATTACAGCTACTACAGGCTGCACTGTCTTCCACCAAATCTGTTGAAGTGGACTTGTGCATGGCATTTGCTCCATCTAGGACCGATTCTGTTGCTTCCTCCGTCCGCTGTGAGGTGCTAGCTTTAGCCTGTAGCTGTTCGTCTGCTTCACGCAGCTTTTCCTTTAGCGCTTTCATTTCTGCTTGCAGTTGCTCAATTATAGAGTGCATCATTTCGGCATCTTCGGGGGCCTGTTTAAGCATACATATATACATATATTGGAGCTACAAATAAGTCTAGAGTACTCACATATTGGTTGGCATTTGACTTGCTTGAACCGCGCGCGTTGCTGTCGGCACTCTCCTGTTGAAAACTGTTGTTCAAAGACTCGCTGCCTAGTTTTCGCACAGATCCGAGTGTTTTCTTCACCTGGTTAAGAACATGAGGCGCTAGCCCGCCGGATGGCTCGGCTGTAGCTATTTGCTGCATCTGTTGAAGTTGCTGTTGTTGCAGTCGCAGTTGTTCTACTTTTATGCGCTCCAGTTCTGCTTTGTATATGGCCGATTCTTCGATCGTGTCCTGCACCAGCTGTTGCAGTGACGATATCTCCTCTTGCGCCTTTATATCCTTCAACTGCATTTCGTTCTCGCACTTAAGATCTGCTACCATGACGTGCGTCTTCAACTCATTCAATTCGTCTTGCAGCTGCTTTCGCTCCGCCTCCTTTTGCATGTACAGCTCCTTCATTTTGGCACGCTGCGTATTAAACTCGTTTTGCATTTTACGCATCTCGGCCTGGAGTAGTTCCAACTTATGCTGGTATGTCGCGTCATCATCTCCTGAAATGACGAAGTTAACCCCAACTGAGTTCAGCATTGATTATGGGTGATTCGCTTACCGTTTGCAACGTTATTCTGCGCCTCCGACGTGCTCTCATTCTCCTCCATTTTACAGAAAATGAGCCAATACAATAATATCAACAATTATGTTTAGTTTACCACAGGGATGCAAGCCATCAGAATTAGAGATGCGCCGCACAAATAGAACTCGCCCATGAAACACTTGCGACTGCCGATTAGTGTACAAGACACGATGCGCTGCAGCAGAGGCTGGTAGTAATTATGATGGCATATAATCTCTGATTATTTATACTTCGCAAAGAAAATATAACACTCTCAGTTATATATGATAAATAACATAATTAACACCTACTTAAGAAATCTAAGTGGAGGAATATGGTTAAACGATAGTTGATTATACATACATCCATTTAACGGTTATTATGTAGGTTTACTTAAAATTTATTAACAAGATTTAATAACAATATATATTAGTTTTGCTTTAAACACTTTAAATGAAACGACATAGCAAGCTTTCAGCGCAAATACTCTATGGAATTATCGATGAGTAAATCGATATAGGTATACAATAAGTTCCTATCGATTAGGCCGTCGTACTGTCTCACCTCTAATGCACATGTGTTTTGGAACGCAATAACTATAAAAGTTGCCAATTTTATTTTGAAGAAACACCAACTCTTGCAGCCTAAAAATGGTAAGTTTTGAACTCTTTAACAATATCAACATGCCTTAAGTCCATTTAATTTGTAGGTGAAAGGGAAAAAACCATATATTGACCGGAAAAAGGCTGTCACATTTCACTTGGTGCATCGCAGTCAGCACGATCCCTTGGTTACCGATGAAACTGCTCCACAGCGTGTGCTTTTGGAGGCGAGTGCGAGGCAGTCGCAGACAAAAGCACAGGATGAAGCAACCATGGATCCAGAGAAACGGCGAGAGGAGATGAAAAAGTTTGGTATTCACTTTGATGACGATTACGATTACCTGCAGCATCTGAAGAAGCGAGAAAATGATGTGGTTTGGGAGTACATGGAGAATCCCAACCAAGCAAAGAAGACGAACGCTGAGGATGCCAAAGCGCAGACCAAACTCCTGCTGCCCAGTTCCGTATTCGCAAGTGAATTTGAGGAATCTGAAGGCATGTTAAACAAAGCAGCTCCTCAGCCCGGTCCGCGTCCGGATTGGGATCCAGATGTTGTTGCAGCACTCGACAGCGATTTCGAAGACACTGAAGAGTTAGAAGACGATTTCGTAATGCAAGCGATGGGCGGGGATGAAGATGAAGAGGGAGACGATGAGGATTGGGAAGACGAGGACGAAGAGAATGATATGGAATTTGATTCAGATAATTTAAATGAAGACGAGAACGAAGATGAGATGATGGACCGCCTTGGTCCGCTGATGCGGAAAAGTCGTTTCGACGATGAGGAAACCAAGTCACGCTTCACAGAATACTCAATGTCGTCGAGTGTAATTCGTAGAAACGAACAACTATCACTGCTCGACGATCGTTTCGAGCAGTTCTATGCCAGCTACGATGATCCCGAGCTCGGAGATCTTGCTTTAGAAGACATTGAGGGTCAGTGGCATCAAAAGCATCCCGTTGTAATGCAATGTTTCCAGGAATTCAAGAAGAAAAACGAAGATTTGAAATATGACAAAGAATGGGATCGCGAGCGCATTAAAAAATACGAAAATGTTGTTGACGGTGAACACGATCCAACCGACGAGCTGGTCGATTACGAAGTCGAAGACGGCAAGGAGAAGAAATGGGACTGCGAATCCATACTCTCCACGTATTCTAATATTTATAACCATCCAAAACTAATTGATGAGCCTCGCGCCAATCGACGTGCGGCGCCCATTAAGATCGATCCCAAAACAGGTCTTCCAGCAAACGTGCTGCGTGGCGGCACCGATGCCCAGCTCACAGCTAAGGCGTTGGCCAACTTGGCCGATGATTCACCAGATAATGCTGGTCCGAAATCTCTGTGTGCCAAATCAGTGCTATCCACACTCAGCGTCCTCTCCATACGCCCCAAGGACGAGACTCCCGAGGAGAAGCGCGAACGCAAGCGTTTGCTTAAGGATTACCGCAGCGAACGCCGCATCGAGAAGAAGGCCAACGCCGAGGCCTTCAAGGAGGAGAAGAAACGGCAGACACATGTGAAAATCAACCAGCGCACGAACCAACAGGGCTCGACAATTGTTTAGGCTGCTTTAAAACTATTTAATTTTTTAGTAAGAATATTTGTTAATACTGAAAATGCTAGTTGTAATTTACCATCATGATTTATAAACATTATGTATGAATGTACATAAATATATTTAATACACATTTGGAAAAAAGTAATAAGAAAAGCGTTGAATAACTGACCATCAAAACTAATATGCTCTATTATAAACTACCCTACATATATGTTCGTGTGGAAATACTAGCGTAGCCATAAAAAGACAACCACGAGCCACGCAACAATTACCTCAAACCCCAACAGTGACGCCTATGGGCTTATGAAGTTATATATGTATATGTGTATATACAGACATATATATAAATATATGCATATATGCTATGCCACTAACTATGACCAGCTTGCAGCAGATTGGCCGATTTGCTCAAATTCCTAAATATTAATTTATATACATATATATTGAAATTGACGTTTCATTGTTAATTCACACTTCTTCAGGTAGTGCAAACAAAAAGTCAGGACATACCAAGGGACACTTTCTATATATATATATGTAGAATATACATATATATGTATGTACATACACATATGTACACCTATAGTTCTGTACACTCATTACAATGCATTTAAGTTCTAAAAACACAGTTTAGAATTTCCCCTGAGATATGAGTGAAAGTAGGCGCGATTTCCACTTAATAAAAGTTAGCTCTACTTTTCGAAGTGGGTGTTGCTGTTGGAAAGACCCAACAATATGTGAATACATATGAATGAGTGTATATATGTATATGTATATATACATATGTTTGTCTAAATAGATACCCTATGCATGTGCTCGTCTGTTTGTATTCCTTTTCCTCGTTCCACCTGTTTTGGTGTTTGGTTATTTTGTGGAAATTTCAAGTCAAATTGCCTAGGTTTTATTGGAAAGCCCCGACGTCAGTTGTTTATTGCGATTATAGTTAGTCGCTTGATGGAAGGGTGTAGACATGTTTAGTTTAGGTAAATCATATTTATGCCTACGTACATGCATATGGCTTATAGTAAGTGTGTTTCTCCAGCCGGAACTGAAATGTGAGACGCTTTCAGTTTCGACATAATAATGACCTTCAAATGGGGTGTCAAGTATACATACATATACATACATACATATGTATGTATATCTTTTAGAAAAATATTAGCATACATTCATAATTCAGTTAGAGTTTCGTATTAATACATCATCATTAGTATTTGCCAAAAGCACAATTACATACATACAAACATGGTTATGTTTGTATGTACCTATGCGCTGAGCTAAGCAAATCGTAGCCTAATTACCGACCCTGTGTTCTACTAAATACCAAAACAAACCACGTACTATTGCAAATGATTAAAAATCCACATGGCCACATTTCCATGGCGCCTAACGGAACCTAACACCAATTTGGAAAAAAGCTCGAGCTCGCACGCTTACCCAGCACGATACTCACAGCTCCTTGTAAATGGAAACCGTCACAGTTGTCGTGCCGCTGCCGCTGCCGTTGCCGCAGCCGCAGCCCCTTCTCCTGCTTCAGCCACTGCCAATGTCCCTAGCTGGCGGCTAGCGTCGGCGTCAGCGCCAGCGCTGGCGTCGCGCTTGCTGCCATTTTGTTGGGAGCGCGGTATATTAAAGTGGCAAGAAAGCAGCAAAGAAATTCGCGCATTTTTAGTTCCGTTCAGTTCCTGAGCGAAGCCGAAAGGATTCGAACGCGCGTCGGCCAGCAACGCGGTAATACCCATTATATTTCATTCAATTGTCCAGCGGACAAACAGTGTTCGTGTCATTGCCTCAAAATGGGCTAAATGCATTTTCGATTCGGTTACTTTTCGAATCGCATAATGAATGTTCTAATGAGTCAAATCGATAACAACTTAAACTATCGGTGTTGGCTATGAAATAAATATGAAGTTATTAATAATACATGCATACATATACAACCTAACACGAACCAGTTCCGCGCAAATTGTAAACATGTGAAAAACCGTTACAAATTAGCGATGAGAGTTTTAACTATGCAAAGCTTGTCTTTAGTGTGAACAGCCGAAAGAACAACAATTAAATTTGTTAAAATCCCTTACAACTTGCATTCGTTTAAAATAAATTTATATTAATTTAAGAGAATAAACGTAGCCGCTTTTAACGTGCATAATTAAAATAAATGGATTTTCAGACTCAATTAGTCGCCCACTAATACACGTACAGACGTACGTATGTGGTTATGGATATGCTTTTATAGCTTTGTGCGAAAATACGAAATATTCCATACTCAAATAATTAAAAACTGTAAAATACAAAACAAAATTGCAATAAATACTGATCTTGATTCAAATATCTCATATATAGCTATACGAATAAATACATAAATATGTACACACACATACATATGTGTTTGCTTCAGATCTAAATCTTTAAGTGTGTAACTGACGCCTGGCTGTGTGTGTATGTGGGGCTAGCCGGATATACTTCATCTTGCAGTCCACTCATTGAAGCGGAATTTTTAATTTCAATGGCGAGAACTATCATTTCCATTGTCACTCGCAATGGCAATGTCAATGTCGCTACCGGTTCCTCTTGTATTACCCATGTATATAAATTGAAATTATCAGGAAAATCATAATCTTGACAAAAATAAATAAACAGATATTCGATATGTATAGGAAATATGATTTAGGATCCATGAGACATTCAATATTTGCCCTTGCGCAATCACAGATATAATATGCCGATCGAGCTTCTTCTATCTTATATTGAATGATCTATTGTTCCATTATATAAGTCACAGATATGTACATACATATGCTTAAGTAGCTTACTTTGCGTATGCTGACCAAATTGTAACGATAATATTTAAAGCGCGCGCGCTTAAGTGGAATTGGCACGCGATTCAATTGTCTCACATGGACTTAAGGCGCGAAGTGTGCCGCATATGCATGTGTGTATTTATCTCTCTGTGTCTATGTGTGTGTGCTTGTGTGCATGTATTTGCCTTGACCGGCTGCCTGGCAAGCTTAGACATCGCGCTCCGTCGTGGCTATCATTTTACTAGAACCACATGCGCCTGCCTCCCACACAGATGGCCCGATAATCGCGCACAATCTATGAACATATGTGCATATCCGACAGCAGAAATCATGAGATAAGTGACACACACACACACACACACACACACACAAGCACACTCGCCTCTAGCCATAGATTTACATATGACATATGCCGTAGAGCACGCCACTATAGCGTCGGCCGAGTCGGACAACGGTTTATTTATTCGATATTTGAACGCTAGTTGAGTTGGTATCGCAGTCGCAGTCAAAGTGGATCCATGAGTCCAACTGTGCGGCAACATAATTAGCCAATAACGCGATAAAATCGTGATAATATATATCCTAATTATATATTTAGTACTCAATCAAACTAGTGCTGGCTCGTATCCTTTGAAATCGACGCTGTGTTTAACGATTATTCATTTTTATCCTTTAATTCGAATGCATTGAAAATTAAATTCAAATTCAACTTCAATTTCGATTTCGATTACGCTATCGTGTTACAGATTTCATAAAGCGAATTATGAAATTCCCACGTCGATGTAAAGTGAGATGATTTGAGGTTTGGTTTAATTTTCTGTTTCGTCGTCAACATCATGCTGGGCAAATATAACACAAAGGCATTCATATCGCTTGGATTGACTTTCATATTGATGTGGTGAGTTCCAGTTTCAATATAGAAATTCAAGTTATTATCCTGATTATTATATATTGTATACGCAGAGTAAACTGTTTTTCTTAGAGAAAAACTTCTATATGAAGTAAATAAGAAACTTAGCTTTCACTTATACTTATAGGTTAGTATATGTATGAGTTATATGAGCCAGCATTTTGATTGGAACATAATAAACATCTACAATATTTAAAGTGTTATAAATAATTCAAGAGCATTTCTTCCATATTCAAATAGGCTTTTAACGCCTAGATATAATATTTGTATAGTATTATCATATGTAAATATGTCTAATCTCAAATATATTGTATGGACTTAATTGAGAAATTGCACTCGACTGGCTTATCACATATGGAAATTAAGACAATGTTTATATTAGAAGACTTACAGAAAGATAATTGTAATATTTATATACATAGGTGTGTACCTCTACACATGATTCTGCCAAATTTGAAATGCAATTGTTGTCAATTTGTTTTTATATTTTACTTAAAACAGCTTGGGTAGGCTTTGCTAAGCATATAATTAAGATATATAAATATTTATAATATATATATGTATATGTATATGTTATTGATATATGTAAATTAAATGAAATCTTAAGTATTAGTAAGAATTCAATATATAATAATTAGTAGAAATAAATAGAGAAGACTGTGCAGAGATCCTAGTCCATAAGAGAACTACAGAACAGAAGAGATTGCCATCGTAATTATGTTTATAATAATAAATATTAATGTAAATAAGTTATACATAAGGCACATGAACATTGAGCAGCGTAATGAAGTAACCCGATTTAACAAAGTGTGTTTGATTGCCTGTATATCTGTTCGTGTGTCTGTCAGCACATCTGTCTCTTTGCCTGCCTCTCTGTCTGTCTCTCTGTCTGCCTAAATTGAGCAAGGGACGATGAAAGCCTTCCGCAGATCATTCGAGTTGCCTATGTGTATGCAGCACTCTTCACTTCGTAAAACGAAGCTAGGAGCAGAGAGAGTTCCCATTCGCTCGACTGCAACGATCTCTACCTGGCGTCGGGCTCTGTTTGAGAGCGCCTTGTGGTGTCAGTGAAAGTTGCCCTATATAAGGGGCACTAGCCGCAGCATTTCTTCAGTCGCCCAGGCCTGGTGGGGGTCAATTGTGCAGTGTTGTAAAGTGAAGTAAAGTGAATTAAAGTGATGTGTGTGATCGTTCAGCTAAGTATTAAATACTTGCAGCAAATAATTAGCAGAAATTCTCAGAGAAAATAAATAGAAGAAATTCAACAGTTAGAAGAAATTATAGGACAGGATTACTTAGCGGAAAACACTTAAAAGAAATTATAAGACGGAAATACTTAGAAGAAATTCTTAGCAGAAAACACTTAGAAGAAATTATAAAACGGAAATACTTAGCAGAAATTCTTCGAGGAAATACTTAGAAGAAATTCTTAGCAGAAAACACTTAGAAGAAATT